TTTTTTAGAGCTAACCTTTAATACCTTTCTTATTTATAATATCCCCTAGCTTTTTAGCCTATGTATAATTTGCCTTCCCTCTAGGATAGTGCCTATGCTCTGCGTAGGCAAGCAATAGCTCTTACCTAATTACATAAGGGAGAAGGTTAAAATTATGTGTTGTCTATCTCTAAAAGTTATTATTTTATAGTGTGTACTCTTTTCTAGCTATCTTGTAACACATGTTAATTAAAATGTATACTGTGTATAAGCATTATTATAGTTATATAAAGTTTATATTTATATTAAGATAATTATTTTTTATAAAGTAAAAGTCTACTTTTTTGCGTAAGACTATCTCTAATACATAAGTAACTTCTAATAACTCTTTATATAACTACAGAGGTTCTATAGCTAAGGTAGAGGGTAGAAGGTGTAAGGTGTTAGGGGTGCCCTTTGTGCAGGCAACTAGAGGGGGTATTAGTAGTAGACTGCCTTTATGCAGGCAGTTAGTCTCTAGAGTAGAGGGGAGGTGTGTTAACTAATTAATTACCTCTTATGCAAGCAATTAATTAAGAGAGTTGTTAATTAATAATTACCCTCTATGTAAGTAATTAATCCCTAAAGGGGGGGGGAAGAGAAGGTGTTAGTTAATCGCCTTTTGTGCAAGCAATTAATCCCTAGGGGGGGGGAGGTGTTAGTTAATCGCCTTTTGTGCGAGCAATTAATCCCTAGGGGGGGGGAGGTGTTAGTTAATTGCCTTTTGTGCAAGCAATAGATCCCTAGGGAGGTAGGGGGTGTTAGTTAGTCGCCTTCTGTGCAAGTGACTAATTAAGGGGGGGGGTGTTAACAAGGCAGGCTGCTAATAAGAAGCCTCCTCTGCGTAGCTACGCACGCAGTAGGTTTCTAATTATGCAGCCTATATTGTCTCCTCTGCGTGGCTACGCACGCAGTAGGCAAGTAGTTGCACAGCCTGTGTTAACAGGAAGCTCTAGGGCGCATAAAAGCTTAGCAGTAAGCCCTCTCTGTGTGGCTACGCACGCGGCAGGTTACTAATCTTGCCTTTATGTAATTAGTTAATCTAAGGGCGCGCATAAAGCTTACTTACCCCTCTCTGTGTAGCTACGCACATAGTAGATGTAAGCTTCTTTGTACCTTCTCTATGTAGCTACGCACACAGTAGGTGTAAGCTTTTTATACAGTAGCAGTTTTATTAATCCTTATAAATTTGTCTGTTAAAGACAATATCCTCTGCGTAGCTACGCACATAGTAAATAGTCTATTAATAAACTAATTAGTGTTAGTTAACCTAGGTTTAATTAAATAAACATATGCCTAAGAGGCGTACTAAAAGGTAAGTAGGTAAAGATCTTTTTGTTATTAACTACTACCCTCTCTTTTTATACAAAGAAAGAGGGCTTTTAAGTACACATAGCCCCTAACGCACAGGCCAGATAGCCAACGTTTTAGGCAACCTAATTCAGCCGTACGCGTGTACAGACACAGCTGTACTTACGTACGGACATAATTTATGTTATATAATAGCTTTATTAGCTGCTTAAAGCTTAGTAATTTTTTATTATACTAACACTAGCTTATATATAATTATTACTACTTTTTTAAAACTTTTTTAAAAACTTTAACTATAAAAGTTAACAAACTATTTATATACTTTTAAATTTTTATTTTTATAAGTATTACTTAAAGTTTATAACTACTAAAGCTTATTATATATAAGTAGTAGTAGTAATAAAGTGCATAACTTTATATTAAAGCTTATTATAACTTATTATAAGTTAAAAAAAACTAATCTAGCACTTTAAAATATTTTTTAAATATTACTAAAAGTAATTATAGCATTATAAGCTATGTTAAAGTATAGTAAAAACTTTATTTTTATAATATAAATAATTTAGTTATATATAAAGTTTTTAGCTTAGTGTAACAGCACAGGCAAGACAATGGGTCCGAATGTGGTGGGAATCCACTCAGAGGCATATGGGAGTGCGTGGGGACTCAGAACCTGGGAATGCTATTAACACCTATAGGCCTTGTACAAAGGATATTAAAAAACTACTAAGCTAGCTACAAAGGTGTTACAATCCTTGCTTCCTAGAAGCACACTGGTCGATGTTGTTCCTGGGATCAGGGCGGAGTGTGAGAGGCCGACGGTAGGGTGTACAGTCCTACGTAATGGCTACTAGGCTAATGGAGTGGGGTAGAGTAACCAGATTGTGGTTTGTCCCTGTTACAGCAGTATAGAGGCTGGGTTAAACAGTCCTGTTAGACAGAATTAGAGGTATATATGTTGCAAGATATACAAATAAGATTGTAGCTTATGTGGAGGATAAAATAGCCTGGCAGTAGCTGTTCAGAAGATCGGATGAAGTGACTCCGCTATCTAAGAGAGCTGAAGGCTCTCCTTATATACACCGAGCTTCGGAACATAATATCTCCAGATCCCGAGCTGCGTCCCAGGCTCTGAGCCCTAGTCCCAGGCTCCGAGCCCCAGCCAAGGCTCTCAGTATACGCGACAGCTTATTATAACGCTAAAATGCTACTTAGTCTATATAAAAAATAAACTAAACTTTAAACACACCTTTTAAAGGTTTATTTAAACTAAAACTATATACATGTTTAATAGTGCTAAGAATAAGTTAGTGCAAGTTCCTGTAAGCTCCTATTACTAACCTCTAGTAAGCTTGTCTAAACTTGTATGTAACGGCGCAGGCAAGACAATGGGTCCGAATGCGGTGGGAATCCACTCAGAGGCATATGGGAGTGCGTGGGGACTCTGAACCTGGGAATGCCATTAACACCTATAGACCTTGTACAAAAGGATATTAGAAAACTACCGAGCTAGCTACAGGGGCGAGGTGCGACTAAATACATGAAGGAATAGGGGTACAGCAGGGGGCAGGGCAGAGTCGGGGCCAGGTCGAGGTCGGGGCCGATACGAGGGCCTTCCGGAGGTTCCGGGCGACTCGAGATGGAACGATTCATGAGGATCGTTACATTGTAGAGACTTGTTTTAGCAGGCTTAGCTGCTTACTTACTAGACAATGCATTCTTCTATAATCCTAGGCAGCTGCGCTGCCTCTGTGTTTTCTAATTAGTCTGTAAATAAGCTCTGTTCTAACCTAGCTAGATTGTAGAGCACTTTAGATAGAGTTATGTTAGTCTAACTATAGACTATAACACGCTGCCTTCTCTCTCTAGCAGCGTCCTTGCTGCTCTACTTACACAACTATGTTAGTAAGGAATTATTTATTAGGTAAGTGTCTACTTACTAAAAAGCGTCTGTTATATCTATCTTTCTTATACTAAATAGCTTGCTAGTCTTGTTTATCTTATTATCTTTATACTATTTATTATTTTAATTCTTTTTACTAGATAAAAATGCAGCCCTGTAACACTTACTAGTTATTAAAGTTCTTAGACAGGTGCGTAGAATGTGTAAAAAAAAATAACTATTATAATGTCTTTATTTCTAACGCTGTATAGAACTGTTTAAAGAGGGAGAGAAAAAACCTTTTTTAGTCTACTAAAGTAGTAAGAGCTTATAAATAGAAGCTTATAGATAAATAGATGTTGCAGGCTAAAGCGCATGCTTATTAAATAAAGAAGTTCCTTAAGAAAGTAAAGAAAACAGTAAGGGTAATAAAAAAGAAGTGTTCTAAATAGAATTATATTTAAAAGTTATTAGATTTGTTAGAAGCGTGTTACATAAAGTATTTAAAAAAAGACTTTTTTTTCTTAGATAAGATAAAAGCTTTTAAGGCTAAGGTAAAAAGTTACTTACTTTTTTAACCTTCCTTTGCTAGTACTTATCTCTAAAGGCTGCTGCTATTTAGTAATAACATAGCTATCCCTTTTAAAATAAATGCCTTATTGCCTAGCTAGTTTCTTTTAGGCAAGCCTAAAAGTACTTCTGTACTAACTACTGCGCATTTCTTAGGTTCTTAGCTAGTTTTTAAGTGCTTTTACTAGTAAGCTATCCTTTTTATTTTACTAAAAATTTATTTTTATTTTTCTAGTTATTAATAATTTATTCTAGTTTATATTCTATTTCTACATTCTTTTATTCTTATATTAATAGAGGAATTTCTTTAGTTACCTTTTCTAACTTTAAGACATAGAACTATAGGTGTACCTTTATATGTAGGGGAAGCTTTAGCTTATAGTTGTCTTCCTAGGTCTGTAGGACCTTATATAGTCTAATTCTTTTTTCTACTAGCTTCTTAGAGAGTTAGAGTATCTTAAGGTTCTATGTTTTAAGGTATATATAGTCTCTAAAGTAGATCTCTAGTCTATGTTTTTATGTTTAATTTGCATATTATTCTATTATTTCTTAACTAAATTTAGCTTTAACTGCTAATTTCTAGTGTATGTGTAACGATCCTCATGAATCGTTCCATCTTGAGTCGCCCGGAACCTCCGGAAGGCCCTCGTATCGGCCCCGACCTCGACCTGGCCCCGACCCCTGCTGTTACCCCTATTCCCTCATGTATTTAGTCGCACCTCGCCCCGTAGCTAGCTCGGTAGTTTTCTGATATCCTACGTACAAGGCCTATAGGTGTCATTGGTATTCCCAGGTCTCTGAGTCCCCACGCACTCCCATATGCCTCTGAGTGGATTCATACCGCATTCGGACCCATTGTCTTGCCTGCGCCGTTACAGTATGTTTTATAAATTTAACAGGCAGTTAATTAATTTTAGTAGGTTTATAAGTTAGCTCTTATAAAGTGTACAATAGAGGTAATAACTAAAATTAGCTTTATATAAGGTTTTCTTTATTATAGCAGATTTTACTATGTTAATAGCAAACTATACTATTAAAAGCTATTTTGCCTAGTTATTTTAACTATAAAACATATATTATTTTAGATATCTTTCTACTTTAGCATTTATTTATTTAGTTTGTCTGTCTGTCTGTAGGTAATACGCTGTAGATAGCTTATATGTTACACCTAGGTGCCTTATAGCAGCTCTCTAGAACTTGCTAGTAAATAGCTTATCTTTATTAGAGATAATAATTTAGGGGTATTTATATATTAAAACTATGTTTTGTTTAAGTTTATATATAAATTTCTTAGCTGTTATAGTTTTTTTTAATAGCTATATATATAAAAACTTTATAGTCTTATTAAAAGCTACTATTATTATATTGCATATTCTTTCTGTGCTAGGTTCCTTTAATAGAAGAAGTTCTATTATAAAGTCTACAGTTACTATTATTTATAGCTACACTAGAGCTTTAATAAGTTAAAAGTATTTATATGTTTTATGCCTTTTAGAGTTATTCTTATTACAGGCATTATATTCTCTAAGAATTTCTACGCACAACTATTTTATTTTAGGTATTAGTTAAAAAATAGTAGCTTTTAGCTTCTTCTAAAAAGTGCTAATTTTAGAGTGTCTAAATATTAGAGATTTATAGTATTTATAAATTAAGTTTTTTATCCTTACTTAACTACTATAAGCGCATAGAGTTCTTTAATAGGCCTTAGTTGATTATATACTAATTCTTTTTCTATTTCTTTAAAGAAAATAAACTTTTTAGTTCTTTATTTTTATTTTTTAAAGTAGTTAGGTCTTTAGCTAAGTGCGTTAGCTTACTAGTTCTAAGCTTTAAAAATATGTTTAATAATGTAATTAAACTAAGCAAGTTTTATTACCTATTATATGTGTATTAGTAATAGCTTTTTTATTATTAAAAACATAACTAAATTTACATAGTGTTGAATAGGCTCTGACAGCTAGCTGCTTATAGTACAAGCACTTAAGTAGTAAGAGTAAGAGTAGTGTATAGTGTGCACAGCGTATAAGGTAGGTAAAGTAAGACAACATGTTTCTAGTTTTATTACTCTTATTTTTCCTTTATACAGAGAAAAAAAGAGATATTTAGATGTTTATGCACAAAGGTTTACGCATAAGTATTATGTAACATAGATATGTAATCCTGCTTATGCGTAATTACTTATATCTAGGCTATAACACTGCTGCTGTGTACAGACACTAGTAACTTTTTATTTTTGTCTAATAAATTGCCTTTTATATAAGTTACCTTTTTTCTATCTATATAGGTCTATTTAGTTATATTTTACTTATACTTTACTTTATTTATTAAGACTTGCCTTAGTAATGCTGTATGTTAAAATAAGCTAGTTATACTATATAAATAACTTTATAAATAGTGTAAAGTGTTTTAGGCTATTATTATCTAGCCTTTATACACTTACTTTATAAGTAATTTAGCAGTGTATAAGCTATTTTATGTAGAGTTTTATGCTAGAATAGTGTAGGATCTTTGCGTAGGCAAGTGTGTAAGAAGGTGTATATAATAAGGTCTTCTTTTTTTTTTTACTTTCTTTTCTTTATCTTTTACTTTTTAAGCCTTACTGTATAATTCTCTAGCTTTTTTCTCTTTTTATATAGTGCTAATAGTAACAGATACTCCTGCCTGTACACACACACACACACACACACAGAGAGAGATGTCTCTCTAGCCTTCCTTCTCTACCTCTAGCGCTGTTAGTGCGGGTGTCTTTAACGTCCTTATGCAGTCTAGCAGCCTAGGGCGCATCTATGTTACTCTTCTAACTAGTTCTACTACTAATTAGTAGTTTATTTAGTGTCTTAGCATAAATATATAAATTCTTTAGCTCTTTTACTTTTTTTATATATAAAATGCTAATTATAGATAGGCTAAAAAGTAGCATATAGTAGCTTTACTATTTTATAATATTAATATTATCTTACTTACTAGCACTAATCTGCAGCTATAGGTAGTAAAAGTTATATGTTATAAAAAGTACTTTTATATAGTTTTAGTTTAGAGTTATAGTTAGGTCTTAGTAACTTTATATACTTATTATTATAGTAGCATTACTAGTGCTTTTTTTTTATTAAGTGTTATATGCTAGCTAACTTCTAAGCTAATGCCTACACTTTATATATATAGCAAAGCTGTGGTCTGCATTATAACTACTATACATAAGGGGTGGTAGCTTTTTTTTTTCTTTTTTTATATACTAGATAAATAGACTGTCTTTTTTACATATTCTTCTCTTCTAATTTTATAATAATAAAAAATAAGTATGTATAATAAAAAAAATATAAAAATAGGCCTTATATAAAGGCATTATTAGTCTAGTTAGTCTAGAGCATCTTTGCGCACAAGATCTAGCTAGTCTATAGATGCTTCTATCTAGACAGAGAGGTAGTTAGTTAGAACTAATAATTAATAAGCTTAATTTAGTGTTTTCTTTATATATGCATTTACTAAGTTGTTTTTACTATTAATTTACTTTATTTTAGTAATTTTTTTATATATAATTTATAAAGTAATATAATGTTAATTATAAGTTACTTTTTACTAGTAGTGCTTAGCTTAATAAGGTAACTATATAGAAACTTTAAATCTATATAGATTACTACTAGAATTAGTAGTAGTTTAAGTGTTTATATAATTTACTATAAAGTTATACTAAAAGTAATTATATTATTAAACTTTTTAACTATTTTATATAGTTTACTAGTAAAAACACTCCTAGTTACTCTTTTACACTTAGTAGAATTTTAGTATATAATGTTACCTAGTATTTTAAAGTAGTTACTTTACTTTATATAGTCTTTATTACTTAATATAATTAAAAATTCTAGCTATAAGCTAAAGTTTTTATTATTAGTAAATAATTTATTTATAAAGATAAACAGCTTTACACTATTAAGCTATAATAGTAGAAAAGTAAGACTACACTTACTATTATCTATTTACTATTAGATTTATGTGTTAAGTGTGTTAATGTTATTATATAAAGAGTCTATAGTTTATGTAGTAATAAATAAGTTAAATGCTGCCTTTAGTTAATATATAGATATAATATATACATCTTTTATACATTACTTAACATATTATTATGCAGCATTCTTATTTTCTAGGTTAATTATATAAAAGTAGCTTACATATTTTTTTAAGTAAAAACTACTATGTTATATGT